TTTTACGCAAGATTTCTTTGATGTATTCCGACAAGAAGAAACCCGTTGGTGTTAGGTAAGGCGACCTTACAGGCTAGTTTATAGGATTTCGACGTCCAATCCATTCTGCTGAAAATTTCTAGAATATACAGGTTAAACAATGTTCATTTGGATTTATTCAATGTCATCTGAGTCTATTTTTTTATCGTTGCTGGTGAAGATATGAAAGCGACCATATTCAGAATTACACTTGATGCGCATGAAACATGGATGAAGTCGATGAACAACGCCAGTATCAATAGTGTATTTATACACCATCATATCACAATCGAATCGACACAGTCGAGGTGTACGGTCAAAAAGAATAGAAGCTAATTGTGAGAAATCAATTTTTGATATCGGTGGAAGTATATTCACATGAAATCGTTCAAGTTTAGGTACATGCATAAGAAGTGAATCGATCATTGTGTTGGTTGACCATTTAGTCATATGAATTGAAAGGTAATTTAGGCAATGATGAGAAGAAACTACTGGCGAAACGGTTGAATTATCGTTGATGGGATGCAATGAGAGACGAACAAGGTTGGGACATGACTCAAGAATAGTATCATAGATGGGCGAAGTGACAGGTCCATGAAGAGTCAAAGAGCGAAGACCAGGCGATCCAGACCAAGTTGCGACCGAATTGGGCACATTAGCGAGAGTGCATGCGTGAAGGAAAGGAAATCCATTGGAGAACAGATGTCGATGTAGCTTCGCTATCATCGATGATGGTGACGAATTCATTACGAAGCCAAGTGAAAGAAATTCAAGATAGGGCAGTTTTTCGGACTGAAGAAGTTGATGGATTTGATTGTTGGATGGATATTTGAGTTTTAACGATCGAACATTTGAGAAGCAAGTGAGATCGATCTTATCTAGACGATCGTTGATCACCATCAATCGAACCAGATGTGATGCAAAAAACACTACTGCTGGATCATTAGCACTTTCAGACGACCATAATTTGACAGAAACATGATCGACAGATCGTAGAACGCTATTGATCCGTTTATTAAGTCCAACAAATATTCGATAGAGATCTCGAATGGTCAAATAGTCGAATATATTTCGAAAGAGCTCATTGGGAAGGTCTTCAAAGTGTGTAGCAACTTTGTTACTCATTAGATTTGCTACTTTGTGTACCTGAAACAGAGAAATAGAGAGTAACATTTAAAACATTTATTGCTTGTGAGGGTATATTATAAATGAAACTTGTGTTTTGTTTTTTTCTTTGCAGCTAGCTATTTGATAGCGTAATAATTGCAGGTAATAATTTTTTGTGATGATTTCCAGTCATGCAGAAATCAGTTCCCTATTCAGGTCAATCTCTGGAATTGCCGCCACCGATTCTCTCCTATTTTGTTCGAGAATATATAACAGTAGACAGTCGAAATTCGAATTTTATGGAACCGGAACGTTTAATCTCGTAATCATTTTTATTTGTAGACAAAATAATGAAAGAGACTTTATGTTATATTTATTACCGATGGCAATCGACAGAATGCATGGCAATAATGATCAATTCTATTTCTCAAAGGTTTTTCATAGTATGTGCCTCTATTAGAAGTAATATAGTTCTATCCAAATGGTTAGTTATTGACGTGTCAATATTCCGTTTCAAGTTGACGGAATACGGCGTTTGTTCACTCGTCGTCAAATAATTTATCAGCCACGCCCTTCACTTTCATCGTGAAAACGATACGTCTAACCATTAGTTCTAATAGCTATACTCCTTAGGTACCTGTTTTGTCCCTTTTATGAAGAATTCGATTGTTATTTTTTTTTAATGGCAGTCTCTCTTCTCTTGCAATCGAAGCCGCATTACGTATAACAGCGATCGATGATTGTAGAGCATGTCGTTTCCAGTATCTTTTTTATCGAATAGCTCTCTTCAATAAGGCTTATCGATTACAATATATATATATATGAGAGCATGACTTTTTACTTTCTAACAGAGCGCCATAATGGCCATTACAGAACAGAAAAGATATACATGATTCTGTTCTCCATTGGATGACGTAAGTACAGATGAGTCATTCAGCTACAATATGTATGTAAATTTTATTTCATAAAAGTATCGGGTTATCAGTAGTTTTTAAAGTAATAATGAACCGGGAGTGAATGAGAGTAAAATGTTACGAGAGGGTCTCATTTGAGGGTGGATATCTAACTCAGATATTGCGAGAGAACACCTCAAAACTGAGTGTCTATCGTTGTAGAAATAGTTTATATATGTACAGCCGTACACAATGAGAGGGTGAAAGAAGGTAGCATCTAATCATGGCTATATATGTAATAAACACATCGAAAAATCTGTCTCTGAATCTTTACCTTTCGAAATTTTACAAGATGTCGTAAACACGTCGCTTCTATGGCACATAAAATATTTTGCTTTACTGTTCTTCTACTTTTTCTTTCGCAAGTAAGGCATACTCTTATTTTCTCCTTCACCCCTACCACAAAATAAATATGCAGGCACACAACACATGTCGTAACTTTCTCTTCAGCGTCATCCTCCAAAGTTTCTTTACGCTTGGGTGTGAGTGTGAGTGTGGGTGTGGGTTTGTGCGTGTGGTGGGATGCGGGTGTGGGCGTGATTGTGAGTACGAATGCTTGTATGATGAGTGTGTGGGTGTGGATGTGGGTAGGGGTGTGAAGTTATTGTTATTTTTAAAATAACTCTTTCTGGCATTCTCGAAATCTTTACATATGACTCATATGTAACTACCGGTTACGACTCAGAATTATGTGCTCTTTCTATTGGCATACAATACATCAGATTGCATTCACATTTCATAAAATGCTAAAAAAAGTTATTTTGAAAATAACAATATCGTCACACCCACATCATGTGGGTGTGTGGGTGTGGGAGGGTGTAAGTGTGGGTATGGGTTTGGGTGTGTGTGGGTGTGAGTGAGCGTGTGTGGGTGTGTGGGTGTGTAAATATGGGCATATAGGAGAAATTCACATGCAGAAATACACTCACACAGCTATCCTCGCATAGAATTTTACTTTCATTAGTTTTTGTCACCATGTGCATAATACAACGAATTTTGCGTGCATCAGAAAGTGAAAACCATAAGCGTTTTGCAAGTTGTTCTGTACTAAAGGTTCTTTTAAAATTTAGTTGTCGAATTTATCTCATTTACTTCCTAAACGGTATCAATACATTGCTGGTCGTTCCATAAATATTCAAATTCATTGTGAATCATCTCGTTTTGAATAGGAGTTTCGAATTCATTCTTTTATTAATAATACGAGAGCATTATGTAAACCTTCAATTAATTTTTCTTTTTGTCGAGCCTTTCTAATCATAGTTATCAGCGGGAATATTGAAAATAAGTGAGTTCTATGTATGTTTTTCAAATCGATTTGGGTACGGATGTTGATATCCATTTCATTCAAAGTCACAGTCACACTAGCATCCTACACACTGTGTGACACTCTTTTCATAGCATCCATCTCACCATGAGTGATTTTCGATTAATAGAATGACAAAAGAGTAATGTTTATTTCAAAAAAATTAGTTTACATTTATATTATGAAAAAAAATGCTTAAAAATTGTGAATATAAAGCGATACAAAATATAAAATTGTTAAAATAGAAATTAAAAAGGAAAAAGAAAAGACACAAAAAAGTATTTAGTGAATGCGATCGATGACAATAAAATAAACCATGGAAAAGAAAATCATTATAGACAACACATGGTTGAGTGACTGTTGGGAATTTTGTTATGTCGTGTAATACATTTTGGACATCATCAATGCATGAGAAAAATTAAGTAAATAATATGTACTAGTGTGATCTTATACGTCTACTAATGGAAAAAGGAAACTCTTCGGGTTTCAAAATATTTAATTGTTTTTCTTTCGATAAGTTACTGTTTACCCCGCAATACTTTTCACGTATTTCTTTCTATAAAGTTCTACCACGGCATTTCCTTGATCACCAGCCGTCTTTCTGAGGACTTCTTCTGTTACAAAGTGCGTCAGCAAGTCAGCACCTCGATTGGAATTAATATTTAGTTTCTCGCAGCTTCCGGATGTTTCGCGCGCTATTCTTTCAAAATTCTCCTTCGCATAATCAGTTAAATAGAAAGTATGTAGCGGAATATTTTTTTCTTTCAATTTTTGTAATTCACCTTCGTAATATGTTGGTGCAGCAAATTTAGTTGTTGTCCAGTAGGTTTCCCCAAAGCTTCGTCGCTTCATAGTCACGTTTTCTTTAGTATTTGCTGGTGCATCTCCTATCAGAATGACCTGAGAAACTCCGTCTTGTTGACCACTTTCTTGCACTGCATACCATAATCCTACTTCGATCGCTTCATCGCCCCATCCACCTTCAGGACCAATAGCGTTCATAAATGCTCTTAAACCACTACCTTTTGTGCTCCAAGCAGAAACTTGCAAAATTTGATTTTCTCTAGAATTGTAGTTTCGGTAGATCGAAAGCGACATTTGAAATGCATCACTAGGCAATCCTTTCTCTGCTAAAACAATTGATGCACGTTCAAACATTGTACAAACAGTTTCTTTGGCAGCTGATAGTAAACTTGACATAGAACCTGTGGCACAGAGATGTCCACAGGGCAGGGCAAGATCTTTGCGCTCTGCTCATTGGAATCCAAAGTTTCGTTTTATAAAAAGCTTTTTTATTTATCTAACAAATGTGGCATAATAGAAGAACAAGAAAGATTTCGTTATCAGCTCGTAACAGACTAATCGTGATGGCACGATAACGGTACATTACAATGAGAATAGTAGAAATGATTGGAGAAACAAAAGAATCACAACGATGGATATTGACGATGCATCAAATCTGATTCCTGTCAAATCCAATTCCTAGTTTTAACTG